ATTAAATTAAATTAAATTGAAAAAAACCCAACAATTAAATCGACGAAAACAAAAAGACAAAAAGAGGGGAGGGGGGCAAAGAGAGAAAGAGGGGAGAGAGAGAGAGAGAGAGAGAGAGAGAGAGAGAGAGAGAGAGAGAGAGAGAGAGAGAGGAGAGAGAGAGAGAGAGAGAGAGAGAGAGAGAGAGAGAGAGAGCGAGGGAGAAAGAGAAGTCTACGTTCCGGATGCAAAGTGCTCCCTTGTCAGTCGCATGTATTTCTTGGAGAGACTCCCACCAAGGCCAAGCTCTTTGACAAGTTGTTGTAAACACGATGCTGCTGTCTTAACTGCAAGATACTACATGTATTCGCCCAAAATCGATGCTTTATCTTTGGGCCACATTTCTGCTTTCATAGGAACAGGAGTGCTAACAGCAAATTTCTCTCGTTTTCAACGTAGAGTGCTTGCTTTGACTAGGAACAGGAGTGCTAACAGCAAAATTCTCCCGTTTTCAACGCAGAGTGCTTGCTTTGACTGAACCGGTTGAATGATTTCAGTCTGAAAAGGCGGATATAAATTTCGGGTATATGGAAGAAGGGCTCTTTTTTCATCGCACCCGAATTTCTTGGACGAACTTCGCACCCGTAGTTCGCATCGGTTTTTCGGGCATATGGACATTGACTGCGCGCCTTTCGATCAATCGTTACCGCCGTCGGGGTGCAGTTACGTGACACACACCATAGACCTGTGCTCTAACAACCAAGATGGTGCACTCTGAGTACATCCGGTTCACCGTGGAGCGCGCCATTTGACTAATTTTGACTGTCTATGGTTGCGCGCCATTTAATAATAATAATAATAGACAGCATTTGTATAGCGCATATCCCCGCTCAACAGCAGGCTCTATGCGCTTTACACTATATTATTACCCCAGCAGACCATAGAAAACTCCGAAACATTCTCAGCTTCCTGGGAAGCATACAATGCAAGCAGCCGATTAAGCGCTCAAACACTAACAAAGTGACAAGATCTTTCGCTGTCTATAGCCGGGTACCCATTTCCACCTGGGTGAAGTGAGGAAAATTCGTGTAAAGTGCCTTTCCCAAGGACACAACGTCGGGCCCTTGACGGGATTCGAACCCATGACCTTACGGTTGCGAGTCCGAGAGCCTAACCACTAGGCCACCGACTATCTGGAACCAGATGAACAGGGAAGGAAAAGGGGAGGGTGGGGGGGGGGGGGGTTGTGTGCGCACTCGACTATAGCAAGACTGATATTTTGCCCCCTTCATTTGCGCACAAGCGCAGCGTAAGTTTTTAAAATTTTTCAATAGAGAGCAAAGACTGACGGCCATGGCAGTGCACGGTCTAGGATAGCCTATTACATGTAATTCAAGTCAAGCGTCACACAAAAGTCGTCTTCACAAACCCGGAAAGATCTACATTCCAACCGGCCCTCTCATATGCATAAGTGCACCAAACCTGAGTGGCGCGAGGACGGATTGTGAACAAAGGCATCCACGGCAGGCATTAGGCTTCATTAGCATTACCCGCCAAAACTTCGGATGAAAATGGACAAAAAGGCAGATCAAAAAAGTCGATCGGTTTCCTATGAAAGTTAACCAGTGCATTCATACTTGTATGGATAAATTCTTTTAATGCTTTAAATGTAAACACTCATTTATTTTATAATCGATGTTGCCTTAAAAAAAAAAAAACTTTAACGACGTTGCCGACACATAAATTATGTCCAATCTGCAGTAGCCAACCAAACACAAGTTTGTGGCTCAGTGCAAATCCTCATACACACAAATCAGAAACACGACGTTGAAAAAAATTCGTGATAGATGTTTTGTCTGCCTCTCCAACTTTCGGATACAAAAAACGGAATTTGAAAACAAGCAAACAAATAAACAAACACAACAACACACATAAAAAGCAACTAAGAGTAAGGACGTCGTGTTCCTTTGAAATTCAAAGTGTTCCCAAACCGTGCCGTAATACGTTGTTCTGTGATAAGAATGCTTGTCCTCAATGAAAGAATGCGCAACTCTACGAGGAGTAATAAAAACGATGAAAACAACAGTTTTTGTTTTAGTAAGAGTTTTACGGTGCTTGCAACACAATAAGGTCATATAAGTGCCGAAGATTAGGTGTTACAAGAGAGCCACAAACACAAAAAGAAGGGGGGGGGGGGATAAAGACGATAGATGTTTGAAAGGAAAGTAGAAGCAAACCACGCTGGAGCACCCGCCTACCACCCACTAAAAACAACAACAATAATAACAACA